CGGATTACAGGGTGGCAGTGTCAGGGAGGTTGAGAAGCACTGGGTTACAGCATTATGTGTTCTGACATACCATTTAAGAACATTCAGAGCTGGGCGGTGGTGGCACACACCTTTAGTCCCAGCACTCAGGAGGCAGAGGCAGGCGGATCTCTGTGAGTTCGAGGCCAGCCTGGTCTACAGAGAGAGTTCCAGGACAGGTCCAAAGCTACAGAGAAACCCTGTCTTGAAAATAAAAAATAAATAAATAAATAAATAAATAAATAAATAAATCAGTTCTGCTATATAGTAAGTAGTAAAACATATTCATGAATTAAACCCCACACATGCTATCTTTTGTAAAAGATTTTTTTAATGTGTTTTGCCTGTGCACATGTCTGCATACCACGTGCACGCTTGATGCTGTTAGAGGCCAGAAGAGGGCATCTAATCTCCTGGGACTGGACCTTACAGATGGCTGTAGATGCTGAGAATCAAACTTGAGTCCTCTGGAAGAGCGGCCAGTGCTCTTTAACTACTGAGGCTTCTCTCCAGCCCCCTGTATAACTATGTTGTGATATAGTCATAAACCTGTAAGACGTACTAAGGACAGACAAGATGGGGCCTTTGTGTGCTGTCATAGATAGAAGGATAGAAACAAGTGATACCCAGAGTCAAAAAGCCGTTGGGTGACCAAGTGTGATGGCCAATCTTCATGCTCAACTTGACTGGATTTAAAGTCACCTCTGAAACACACCCCAGGGCTCACCAACTGAGGAGGAGATTCCCACCCTAACCATAAGGGGCTCCATCCGGTGGGCTAGGGACCCTGACTGAACGAGAAGCTAAAGACTGGAGTATGTCAGCACTCTTCACAGCTCTCTGCTTCCTGGTTCTCCACAAGTGGCTTCACTCTAAGGCTGCAGCCTCAGACCCTCCTCAGACGCTCCAGCACCACCTTCCCTGCCATGACAGTGAGTGTCCTCACACTGTGAGCCAAACAAGCCCTCAACAGACACAAATCACACCACACCTAGATCTGAAGTTGTCAAAACCACCACTCCCTAAAGCCTCATGGGTAATCTACAGAAAAACAACAGGGACTCTAAGCAGATGGCTGCTGAGCCACAGCTATTGCAGGCACACATGCCACATCATTACAGAGCATGCTGGCTGCAATGTGAGGACCTTCCATCTGCTGGGAGACTGTAACCTCTGCTTGGGAACCTTCCATCTGCTGAGCGGCTGTAACCTCTGCCCAGGTCCTTGTACTCATGGGAGGCAGGAAAGGCTGACAAAGCAGAGGCAGGGGGATCTCCGTGAGTTTGAGGCCAGGCTGGTCTACAGAGATAGTACCTTAGAAAGTTAAGTGAGGCGAGACTGTGGTAGGCAGGCGAATGTTCCCCTCTTCTAGTGTTCCTCCTTGCCCTGGAGTGACCAAAGTCCCAGTCTGCTTGAACCCACAGTCTGGTGAGGGACTGGAGTTCTTGTCCTCCTCTATAGCTAAGGGACCAAGGAGACTGTGTGTCTAAACTCTAGGAAGGGAGCAGCAGCGGCATAGGCAGTCTCAGGATCACGGTATCAGAGAGGAAGCTGGCCATCCTCCACTCTTCTCTCTTCCCTGATCGTAGGGCTACACTGTGGATGGAGTTAGTGTAGACAAGGCACAGCAGGAACAAGAGGCCACATCTAACAACACCGAGGATGGCAGAGACACGAAACAGAAGACAACTGGGCCCCTAGGTGCTGTAACACCTCACTGAGAGGGAAGCTCGCTTTTGGCCTGCCTGAGCCACTAAGTCACTACCGGCCTCTTTGTTAGCTGATAGCCCCCACAGGACAGTAACACTGTTGCTAACGAGGCAGTGTGTCACTGCCCCTGTGGGATATACAATTAAATAAAGATTCAGGAAATTAAAAACTAGAGCAGTTGTGGTGCACGTCTTTAATCCCAGCACTTGGGAGGCAGGGTCAGGCAGATCTCTGTGAGTTTGAGGCCAGCCTGGTCTACAGAGCTAGTTCCAGGACAGCAAGAGAAACCTTGTCTTGAAAAACCAATAAATAATAATAATAATAATAATAATAATAATAATAATAATAATAGAACAACAGAAGCACTTGCTTCAAAATACTCTACAGACTTGCCTAAAGGAAATCTGAAGGAAGAATTTTCTCAATTGAGGTTCCCTCTTCCCAGATGACCCTAGCTTCTATCAAGGTGACAAAAATCTAATCAAGATACCTGGTGACCTGAGTTTGATTCCTAGGACCCATTTAGTAGAAAGAGAGAACCGACTCCCTCAAGTTATCCTCTGACCTGTACACACACATACACACATGCAAATAAATAAATTAAAAATTAAAAATAAATACCCAAGGAAGAATAGGCAACCATATCACACAAACTTTTCATAGATTAAAAAAATAATAAAGCATCTTATGTGATTTAACTAAATGATCATTTGCCATTTGTTTTTTAAGTTAATTCTTTAAACAGTAAGTATATAGACAGGCAGTGGTGGCTCATGCCTTTAACTTGGGAAGCAGAGGCAGGCAGATCTCTGTGAGTTTCAGGACAGCCAGAGCTGTTACACAGAGAAACTCTGTCTGGAAAGTTCATCACAAAGATACTGTCTCAATAGTTAGTCTCCTGATACCAAACACAGATGTCAGCCACAAGCACTGCTGACTGGACTCAGTTTAACAAAACCTTTTCCTGTTTAGAAAACTCGAAACCAACAGATGAAAACCATTCACGAGTTCCTCTGGCAAACAGAGAAGATATGAGTATTGAGCACCAGTCAATACTTTGCCACCGGTGGCTTCAGGCACCTCGGTTTCCCCTTCTTTCACAAGAACAATGGAGGCAGGAGGCTCTAAGAATCAGATGTGAAGCATGTAAAATATCTCCAGGGACTTGATAAAGCCTGTGTTGTTGAGTGTAGACAAGTGAAACAAAGCTTCCTGGACATTCTGGAGAGAATTCGGGGTCTCAGGACACCAGCCAGCTCTCGCCTGCCTGTCAGTCCCCACACCCACCACCCCCCACCCCCAGCCCAGTTCTGTCTCCAGGCCTTGCATGCTGCCACAGTGTTCCCTGCTCTCTCTGCTCTCGTTTCTTTTCTCTCCTCCCAGCAGAATGGCCTTCTGTATGGATCACCCCAAAATGAGGATCCCACAGACTCAGGTGTGAGCAGCAGAGTCCCCGAAAGGCAGGCGAGAGGCACACAGTGGGCAAGTGAGAGCAGAAAACTGGTCCTGGCTCTTCAGTCAGAGCCAGGAGACCCCAGGCTGGGGGGGGGGGGGGGGAGTCAAACAACCACCATCTTAAGGACAAGGACTGCACTTCATGGGCAGGCTGCCACCAAAGCCTCAGCAAGAGTGTCCCAGTGGGGTGTGCCCCAGGACCAGAGCTCTAGCCATTAAGTGGAAAACCAGAGAAGGGCCACAGGACAAGACAGGACAGTTTGCCAGTTTAGACACAAACTCAAGAAGGAGATGAAGTGAGGGGCCGTGAAAATGAAGACACATTTCTGTTTGTCTCTGAGTGTGTGTTCAGGCAGATCCTGTCTCTGTCTCTTTCTTTCTGCTTGTCTCTAAGTGTGTGTCTCTCTCCTCTCTGTCTCTGAGTGTGTGTCTCTCCTCTCTGTCTCTGTCTTTCTCTTTCTGTTTGTCTCTGAGTGTGTGTGTCTCTCTCCTCTCTGTCTCTGTCTCTTTCTTTCTGCTTGTCTCTAAGTGTGTGTCTCTCTCCTCTCTGTCTCTGAGTATGTGTGTCTCTCTCCTCTCTGTCTCTGTCTCTCTCTTTCTGTTTGTCTCTGAGTGTGTGTGTCTCTCTCCTCTCTGTCTCTGTCTCTCTCTTTGTCTCTGTGTTTCTCCTCTCTGTCTCTGTCTCTGTCTCTGTTTGTCTCTGAGTGTGTGTCTCTCTCCTCTCTGTCTCTGTCTCTGTCTCTGTTTGTCTCTGAGTGTGTGTCTCTCTCCTCTCTGTCTCTGTCTCTGTGTCTCTGAGTGTCTCTCTCACCTCTCTGTCTCTGTCTCTGTCTCTCCCTCTCTCTCTCTCCTTTTTTAAGCAGATTATAAACAGCAAGTTCTGGACCTTTGACTGAACTGAAGTATTTCAGCACACTCCAGACAAGATATCCAGGAGGGAGGTAGTTATGTGAGCCAGCTGTTCAGGGTGCCAGGAAAAGGATGAGATGAGGAAGAGATCACAAGGATGGACCAGACCTTCTGGGAGAGAAGGCAGGACACTGCTGCCCACATGCATTAATGGCTCAGTAGGTGAAGGTACTTGTTCCCAATCCCAGCAACCTGAGATCCCCAGGACCAACACAGTAGAAAAAGAGAACTAAGTCCAGGCAACCAAACCTCAAACCTTATGTGCTAACTTCCACAGGCACACATCTATACAGTCAATCAATCACTGTAAAAGGAAACAAGAAAAAAAACTATATAAAGTAAGGGGGGGGGTGGATTGACTGGTTACATGCTTGCTATGTTTGCAGAGAACCTGAGGATAACCCTAGCACCAAGTTACATCCCATGCCAGGAGTGCTAATGCTCCTTCAAACACTTTGGGAAGGTGGAGACCAGCAGACTGCTGAGTCTCAGGTCCTGGTTCCCAACTGTCCCAGACACAAGGTGGATAGAAACTAAACACACACACACATGCAAACACATACACACAAATGTATGTACATGCACAAGCAAAGAAACAGACGACAGTAATTTCACTAGCATGGTTTACATAACCCAATATATCCCAAAAGAAAGGAAGCCACCCATAAAGTCCAGGAAAGAACATTCTTAAAAAACAATTAAAAGCGTTGGTGGCTCACACCTTTAATCCCAGCACTCAGGAGACAGAGGCAGGCAGATCTCTGTGAGTTGAGGCTAGCCTGGTCTACAAGAGCTAGATCCAGGACAGTCTCCAAAGCCACAGAGAAACCCTGCCTCAAAAAAGCAAAAAACACCTAAGACACACGACACACCTTTAAAAAGGTACACAAGTAGAACATGGTACTCACTGTTTCTGAAGACGATGGCTTCTGGAAACTATCACCTTGTGCCCAAATGCTCTCTGTCACAAATGCTATATGTTCTGCCTCAAGTATGAAGGGAGAGACAATAAACAGGGCCCATTTGTTCAAGTCTTCAATAGACTAGAAAGAAAGAAAGGAAAACAGGATTCACAGTCATTTCGGACCACTTATCTCCGCACCCTGGCCTACCCTCTCCTTGCTTCTTCAGGTAAGATCGACCCAAGAGTCTGCTACACTTCTGCAGACCCCTTCAACCTGGCCCCTTTGTGTCAAACTGTGGTGACTTAAACAACTGTATGGCTCATAAGAATTTCCAAGTCTCGGGTCGGGCATTGGTGGCGCACGCCTTTAATCCCAGCACTCGGGAGGCAGAGGCAGGTGAATCTCTGGGAGTTTGAGCCCAGCCTGGTCTACAAGAGCTAGTTCCAGGACAGCCTCCAAAGCCACAGAGAAACCCTGTCTGGAAGAAGAAAAAAAAAAAAAGAATTTCCAAATCTCTGGATATTTGTCTTCATGCAAGTAATTCTGACACTATGTCTTTTGGCTTAACATGTATGAGCTTTAGAGTCACACTGGGAAGGTACATTTAAGGGTGAGACTTGGAAGTGCTTGCCTGAAAGTCATACAATCGTCAAACCCAGAGATGTAAACTGCTTCAGGGGAAGTCCTTTCTGATGCAGAGACAGATGTGGGCAGACACACTTTGAAGGAAATATGCAACCCCAGTGGAGAATTCAGTGAGGTCTGTAAGGGGAGATTAGACACAAGACTGACCCTTTTTACATGTTCAAACAAAAAAGAAACTGTCCTCTATACAACTAAACTCACTTTTGTTCTTGTGTTAATCCCTAAACTACACGGTATAAGGGCCATTTCCATAGCTTCTGCCCTGTTTCAGGGATGGGAAGCCTGGAGGGGATTCAAACACCGTGAGGACCCACACACAAAGCAAAGATCAGGTCACTTTATGGGGGGCTGGCCATCCTCAAGTGTGGGCAAGTTGTTTAGGTGAGCTGTCTGCCTTGAAAAGTCATTTGCTTTATTTTCAGATTTCTGGAGGAGGACTGTAATTTGATTTTAAAAGGTTTTAGTCTTCGGAGTGGTGGTGGCGCACGCCTTTAATCCCAGCACTCCGGAGGCAGAGGCAGGAGGATCTCTGAGTCTGAGGCCAGCCTGGTCTATAGATAAGAGTTCCAGGACAGCCAGGACTACACAGAGAAACCCTGTCTGTGGTGGAGGGAGGGATACCCAGAGCAGAAAAAGCAGAACTCCAAGGCTGCAAGAACCTTCTAGGAGTCACAGCCCTGAATCCAAAACAGACAGCAGTGAGGTCTGAGCAAAGTTCAAGGGCTACAGGGGGGCAACAGGGAGCTGGTATCTGCAAGGCTGTCCCAACTTGGGGTTCTGAATTGGGTAAGAGCCAAGTCACTAGGGTAGCATAGTTACCAGGCCAAGGAGGGCATGGAAATGTTCGAAGGTGTCTAGGAAAACTTACTTGGCAAAATTTCTACTCCAATATAAACCGTAAAGATTTTTGTGTTAAATCAATAGTTTAGAAACCACCAGTGGAAAAACCCACCCTCACTAGCTTTTCAGTTCGGTCATCTCTCTCAAGCAGTTTAAGAGAATGTTGATGTTCTGAAGGAGCGGTGTCCGCTCCCAGCACACCTGACTTGTTCCAGGTGGTGCCAGTGGCAGTCAGGCAATCGCAGGCAGCCATATACTTAGTGCTAGTCACGGCCAGGCCACGGCAGCTATAATCTTGGGTAACCTGAGAAAGCTCAGTGTATCGTTCGTACTGTATTTTTCTTTGTATTTATTTAATTTCATGTATACAGGTGTCTTGCCTCCGTGAGTACGTACACCACCCGCATGCCTTGGACTCCCCGTGTGGGACTGGGAACTGGACGCGGGTGCTCGCGAGAGGTGGGCCCCCTCCATCCCCTACACTGTGTACTTTTTTAATTTTTGTTAACTTCCGGAAGCACAGCTCATCCCCATACCTAAGCAGTTTGACTATAAGTATGCACCCTGGAGTCGCGCACGATTCTCACACGGGTGTTATAACCTGACATCCAAGAGAGACAGACTCGCTTTAGTGCTAGGGGAGGCGGCTTTCCAGGAGGAAGCGGAAAGGGCAGAGAAGCAAAACGC